ATGGGGTGGGGGAGGGAGTGAAAGGGGGAGGGGGGAGAATTTTTGTGCTCTGGACACTGGTGGCACACAGGGTAGCAACAATGATGAACCCACTGTTGGCAGCAGCACCAGGACACCCTGCTCATCCTACTTTAGTTATGCTACTGAAAGAGGGTGACCATTAAATCAGCTCTCAGCCTTTTGGCTTCAGTAGGGACCAGAGCATTCCCAGAATACTCCAGGGAACCTGGGAGCTACTCTGCATTGCAATTCCTTACCAAGATCTTTTGGAATAGAACATGGAGGATTCTGGAGCTATCCCTAAATTTCCATAGTGTGCCCTGCCCCTGACATGCCTCCTCTAAACACTGTCACTGGGCTGTGCAAGGGGGCTTGTGTAGGACTTAGGACAGAACAATGCCATGTGCCAGTACAGGCTGGGGGCCGACTGGCTGGGAGAACTCTGCAGAAAAAGGCTTGGGGGTTACAATGGACAATCAATTGAATATGAGCCAACAGTGTGTACTGGAGTACTGTGTTCAGTTCTGGGCCCCCCACTACAGAAAGGATGTGGACAAATTGGGGAGAGTCCAGCAGCGGGCAACAAAAATGGTGAGGGGCTGAGGGACATGACTTGTGAGGAGAGGCTGAGGGAACTGGGCTTATTTAGTCTGGAGAAGAGAAGACTGAGGGGGGACTTAATAGCAGCCTTCAACTACCTGAAGAGTGGGTTCAAAAGAAGATGGAGCTAGACTGTTCTCAGTGGTGGCAGATGACAGAACAAGGAGCAACAGTCTCAAATTGTAGCAAGGGAAGTTTAGGTTAGCTATTAGGAAGAATTTTCTCATTAGAAGGGTAGTAAAACACTGAAGCAGGTTACCCAGAGAGATGGGAATCTTCATCCTTGTTGGTTTTCAAGACCTGGCTAGACAGAGCTTTGGCTGGGATGATCTAGTTGGGGATGGTCCTGCTTTGAGCAGGGGATTGGACTAGATAACCTTCTGAGGCCCTTCCAACCTTCATTTTCTGTGATTCTATAGGGGGAGCAGGCAGCTTGGTTGGGGCCAGAGTTGGAGCTTTGTACTCAAATCCAACATGAGAGGTTCCCCACCATGGCAAATGGGGGGGGGAATCTCATTTTGGATTTGAGTAAATATGGTATTCATAGAAAGTTAAAATACAATGCCAAGGTCTTAGAATATAAAACATGTATAATATGTTTTATTCCTACCTATAGTGAGGTGCAGGGGCACTCCACAGCCTCTGCTAGCTAGAGTGTATGATGTTA